GAAAGAATGAATTATAATGATTAATTAGGGAAAAAGGCCCACCATAGTCCATGGGCCCTTATATATAAACCCAACCCCTAAACCTAACCCTTAGTTCCAAAAGGAATAGAATCAGCAAGCCTATAATATTAGTTCCTAATTAGGACTCCTAAATATATAAATAGGGGACTTAGGAGGCACCTAGAACTTCCCACAGCAATAACGCCCCACCACCCCAAAAGAGCTCCAAGAATCCCCTTAGGAGAAATCAAGAAAGCAAAGGAAGCTTAAAGAAAGATCCTTCATAGCCAAGGAATTAATTAAGGCTAAGAGGTAACCCATGTCTCAACAAAACCTATTTTCATAGTTATGATTCCCCCTTAGGGTTTCCCCCATATTATTGTGTTTGGCGAGTTATGATAATTATTGTTGATGTTTGATGTGATGATCCCATGAGGGATCTTGATAATCTTGATATTGGGAGATTCTTGATAATTATGGAGTTCTTGATGATTATATGGAGTTCTTGATGATTATGTGTTGTTCCTGATAATTGTGTGACGTTCTTGATGCTTATAAGTTATTCTTACCGAATCTTGCAATTAGAAGACAAATCGTATTCTTGTGGACATAAAAGTGATTAGAACCCTAGGTTGTATCGTATGATATCATTCTTGGATTATCGGGTGGTGAAATCGCATGTTTGGATGTTGATTATATTTAGAAAAGCATGATAGGTTATGTGCCGTTTGTTTCTCGTATTTGATCCGTTAATTGTCTACGTGTTGTTATTAATTGCGTTGTAAAGTGTCTAAGCATGGTTTCGGGTTCCACAACGGTTCCCGGGGCGTAATTGTGTGATAAGAGTCAGTGGGGGGTAGGGGACCCGCCACCTACCCACGGCCGAGAAGTCGTCTCCGGCAGCGGGCAGCCGGCGGGCGGGCAGCTGCCCGCCGGCGACCCGCTGCCCGGAACAGTGAAACCGGCGGGCAGCCGGCGGGTGGCCCCCACCCACCGGCTACCCGCTGGAAAATCATCCCCACCTTGGGATCCCGGCTTCCCCGTTTGATGTTTCCCCTTTCCCCGTGGTGTCCCAACGGACTCCGTTTATCGTGCCTATGTCTAGTTTGATGTTTCGGGTACCGTTCGTAGGTTTATGAGTCTATTGTATTGCATGCTAGTTGAATTGGTATCCCGTTGACCTAGGTGGAAGGAGTATGAACCCCTTAGGACTATTCTTAGTATGTGATGGATCACACATAGGTTTTGTTATACGTTTTCTCCCCTTTCCTAATGTGTAATGTGGGTTGCATGTGCTTGCTATGTGTTATGTGTGTGTTACCCCAATTCGGTTGCAATCGGATTGGTTATCCCGAGCTGCGGTTCAGAAGCTGGCTGCGGTCAGATTGATACTCTTGGGCTGCGGTCCACCGTTTGGTTGCGATCAAACGTTTCTATACGAGCTGCGGTTCGTCCTTTTTCCTGGCTGTGGTCAGATGACATCCTCTTGGGCTGCGGTCCACTGTTTGGTTGCGATCAAACACTATGATGAGCTGCGGTTCATCGGTCGGTTGCGATCGACCCCTCCGTGTTGCGATACGGGGCAGGGTGCTGCGGGGCCGTGTCAGAGCTATATGCGCTGACCCTCATGTATGGGCGTGCGATTGGTCCTGTGGCGCCAACAAAGTGTGTTATGTGTTGTGACATGGACGTGTTGTGATTACGAGTGTCTTGGGGGATGTGACTCTGGGATTTATATTGGGGATTGTTCATGTTGGGTTATGATCATTGTTTATGCTTGCCTTATCTGCCTTATCCGTTGTGAACTGCATATGCTCGTTATAACTGTTGCTTGTGTCTGGCCTTATCTGTCGAGTCATTCCCGGTTTTAAAGCTAGAGTTCGTAGGATATATCTTCATGCTCAAAATGGTTTTCGTATATCTATATATATCTCTATATGTATTGTATTTCAACGCGTTGGAGTGGGTTACCAGCATCTCTCGCTGAACAGATATATTTGGCTTTCAGGCACAGAAGATTAAGTCACTGGAGTGCGCTAGAACTTAGAAGTAGATAGTTTCCCTTTTTGGCCTGCGTGCCACATTTACGTATTTACGCTTTGAGGATATTAGTTAGTTAGCCTGTGCACTTGGGTTCTCTAGCCCAGGTGTGGCATAGCACCCCGAACGCTTGTATTCATCTTGGGATTTAATAAGATTCTACCTTTATTATAAGTTTTTAAATGTCTTGAAAATTTGGGGTGTTACAGTAGATCTCGCCTGAGATCTTGGTCACGGCGTCCTTAAGGGCCTGAGTCTCGACTGGGATGACTTGCTTTCGAAAGCGCTGACTCCAGACCCTCTCGACCGGGAGGATCCACGGATCGTATTTCACTGAGAAGATCCGGTTCTTCCACCCCCGGTTATTCCCGGGCAGCCCCTCGATCGAGCACATGTCTGCTCGGGACTGGGTCATCAAGAATCCGCCCCCATACGCGGCTGCCAACACCTTCACCTGGTAGACAAAATTGAACAATTCCATGGTGCAGGCTAAGTTGTGCCGACTGCAGATCTGGGGGAAGCACGCGATCATCTGGTGCGCGTTCGGGCAGATCTGTCCGGGCACGACCTGGTAGTAGCCCAGGAATGCGGTGAGCAGGCCCGAGAAGGGGAAAGTGATCGGGGCCATGAGGGAGTCCTCGACCTGAAGGTAATCCCCAATTACCCTCGTAGGCGTTTCCCTAACGCCTTCGGCCGGGGAATTCCGTCCGCTCGTGGACTTTTCCCCGCACTCTTCGCTCGAGCTCCCCGATCCGATGGAGCTCGACCCCGACGTCCCAGACGAGCTCGATGACCTTTTTTGCTCGGGGGCTCGCTCGGGGATTTGTGGTGGTCGTTGAACGACCTCATCGTCGTATTCTGCGACCGAGACATTCTGGTTGTCCGAGTCCGACATTCTTTCTACCTAAAGGTCGATCGGGATTAGTAAGGCTCGGGACGTCGGGTCGAGGTTAGTCTTACCCTACCGCTATGCGAAAACGTAAAGTAAATAGCAAAGCAAGAGACTAGAGAGCTTACCGATCAGGAAGACTTTCGAAAGCTTGAAGTTGGTTTGCTCGGTTGATTCGCTGAGGTGCTCGCTCGGGACTCTCTGAGTGTACCGATTGAATCAGAAGATTCGAGAAAGTTCAAATGAAGTCCTCAAGGGCCTATTTATAGGAAAGCATTTGGGCGGGAAACCAGTCCACTTGCGTGATGTGACCATTGCTGACTTCGAGGCGACCGTTGCAGTCGCAGAGGCCGGCAGTCGTCGACACGTGGCAAGGAAGGGAATGACAGCTGGCCGGTCGGTGTGGTGGCTGACGGTTGGGCTTCTTCATCCCGTTCTGTTTTTTCCCGGATGATAAAAAAGGCACAGGCTGGGGGGCTCTTGGTAGGGAATACCCCGACCGACATAGTGTTACCCCGACCGGTGTGCCTTCGTCCTTTTCTTCTTGTCTTTACAGGTTACAGGTCGGGTTTTCTTGTGAAGAACCCGGTCGGGGTCCGGCCGGGAGTTACCCGAGTGGAAGTGTCGACCACCGAGCGGAAGCCCTTTAGCGTGAGAGCTGACGAGGGACACGTGGCGGCTCCATGAGTTGACAGGCAGGGCAACCGGGGAGGCGACACGTGGTTGCTACGTGGGAAGCATGCCGGACGGCCGGATTTGTGTCTCCGGCTATAAATACCCGCGATAGCAACAGTGTGGGGGGCTTTTGGACGATCGATAGGTTGTTGTTAGAGAATCCCGACCGCAGTCAGTCGGTACTCAGAGCAACCATTTAGATTGTACTTAGGGCCTTCACCTCGATCAATAAAAGATTTACTTGCTTTATTTGGTCTCGTGTTTATTTAATTACCGCATTACGTGGCAATTAACACTATCAGTAGCTTTGATAATGTATTCAATTTTAGGTTTGTTTTAATTATTAAATTTGTTTTATTATTTGAATTCTGTCAGTCCAATAATTCATTAATTCTAATTTAATAATGATAATATTAATTAGTTTTAGAAGTACATGATCAGTAGGAGTTTAATAAGTGTAGATTAGTTATATATGGTCTCTAATAAGTTGTTTATTATTATTATTATTATTATTATTATTATTATTATTATTATTATTATTATTATTATATTATTATTATTATTATTATTTAGGAACAAAGGACTAAGGATTATTTATGAATAGCTGAAGCTTCGGACGAGACCGCATCGGAGGAAGACGCAGCAACGTCAGGTACAGCTCCGATTGGACTGAGGATTATAAATAGAGGGTAGAAGGCATCAAGTCCATCATCATCAATTTCACTCCGGACTAATTCCGGAGGCAGTGAACAGCTTAATTCCGATCATCAATCGTCCCGGACCAATTTCGGTGGCATCGCTGGTACGGCGAACTCCAGTTACGGCTGCAGCGTTGGCAGTTATTCCAGTCAGTTCCCATTCGTAGCAGGAGTTCAGGCATCTCTGTTCCTGGAGGCACTATTTTGGTCGGTAGTCTCAAGGTTCTAGCAGGATGAATTAATTTGCAATTGTGGCAGCATCGTGGCATAAGAATTTCTACCTATTCTTTAATTTGTTAATTCTTTGTTTTATTGGATTTGCCTAAGTATTTTACAGTTCATTAGTACTTTGCTAATTGCAATTGATTTTAGCATTTTGCAAACTCCAAGTTTTAGAATTCATTGGCATTTTTATATTGTTATTTTATTTTAGTTTATAAAATCAAGATTCTCACTTTGACTTGTCTACCCAGGGAATCTTGTTGCATTGTTTCATCTTGGCTCTATTACTTATTAGAGTATAAAATGCAGAATAGTAATAGTTATTCATTCATTCACGATCTTAGGCTTTTCCATTTTGACTGATAATTATTTACTTAGCTTCTTGAGTTTTATTTAATCATTTTGCAATTGAATTGATCATTATCATTGGCGTTTTATTCCCGTACTTTGAATTATCAAGTCATTTATTTCTTAAGTTTAGTTTATAAATTGCATAGTATCAATTCTTTGTGGGTTCAACCCTTGCTATTGCACACTATCACTACAACTGATTCGTGCACTTGCGAGGACTATATTAAAATTGTCCATCACTAGATGAGCTCTTCTATTTGCCTCTTCAGCACGTTACATTCATCTGTATCGTGCCCGAGTTACCTATGAAAACTGCAGTGCTTTGTTTGGTCTCCTTTCGGGGAGACCTTCATGCACTCCGGCGGGAACTCCACTATTCACATATCCTCAGCTTGCTTTAGAATGATGCTGACGGGATGGGTAAGAGGGGTTAAATTTCGTTGGGGGACCAGGCGAGGTCATTCGTGGTCTCAGCCTTTCCCTGCGGACGAGTGGTTCGAGTGTGGTGCCTGGCTGGGCGGACCAGCTTTCCCAGGCTTTTCACCCTCTCTACCATCCTCTTCGTCCTTCTTCTTCCTGTCGACATCCTCTGCTTCGGCATAGCGGCTGGCCTTCCTCATCAGATCTTCGTAAGTGCGGGGGTGGTGGGCGTTCAGCTGCTTGTGGAAATACCCCGATCTTAAGGCATGGATAGATATCGGGATCGCCGCCTTGGAGTCGAAGTTGTAGATGTTATTGACTTCCTTTTTCCATTTGTTCAGGAAGTCTTTGAGGCTCTCGCCTCTATCTTTCTTTACTACGCAGAGGTGAGAGAATGGTTTCTTACGATATATACTACTAGAGAAGTATGTTAGGAAGGTCTTGGACAATTCTCCAAAATTTTGGATCGACCCATCCGGGATGGTGTTGAACCACTCTTGGGTCGCTCCATCCAAGGTGGACAAGAATGCTCGGCACATGACGGCGTCCCCTGCCCCGATCATTACCATAGCAGCCTTGTATCTTGTCATGTGGACACGCGGGTCAGTGGCCCCCGTGTACGCTTTGATGGCGGGCAGCCTAAAGTCCCTCGGCAAAGGTACGTCCATTATACTAGGGGAGAATGGTGATGCTATCCATACCTCAGGTTCCGGCGACTGCTCCCGTGCCTCCACCCTCCTTGCTAACTCCTCGATTCTTTTTTGTAGCCTCTCGACCAGGGCCGATTCGTCAAGGTTCCGGCGCGGGGCCGGCTACCGCTCATCCGTGTGTTGGGGTGGAGCTGGCCAATCGACGTGCCGCTCGCCCAAGTGTCAGCGTGGAACCCGCTCATCAGCGCGCCGCTCGTCCGCCGAGTGTCGACGCGGAGCCGGCTCATCGACGCACCGCTCATCCGAGTGTCAACGCAGGGCCGACTCACCACCGTGCCGGCGCGGGACCGTCTCACGAGACTCGCCCATCATCTCTGTGGGTGATCTCTCTCCTTCTCTATTTTCGTGCCGGCGAGGGCCTCTGGTAGAGGACCCCTCGGCCCGTGATCCTATCCTTTGCCGCGCGGGCTCCCCGTGTCCCAATTGTTTAAGGGCAGAGCATGAGGGTCCTGGTTGCCGACTGGCCGGTCCACTTCTTTGGGTGCCCTCTCCTGGTATGACGCCCTGCGTCCCTCGCTGCACGGGTTGCATCCTGTCGTTGCTGGGGCCGCTTGACCTTGCAGTCCCACCGCCACCTGATTTAGCGCCGTCACCGCCTACTGAATGGCTTCGGCGGCCGCCTGGAGGTTCACGGCTTGGTTCGCCCCTCCATTGTTGAGTTGGTCTCGAAGGTCCCCGGGCCTCCCGTTGTTGAGCTGTTCTCGGAGGTCCCCTCCACGATTGTTGGTGAGTTGGTCCCAGAGGTCACCTGAGGCATTGCCGTTGTTCAAGTTGCGGGAACCGTGGGAGCTGTGAGACGCCATTCTTTCAAGCTTGCTGTTGAAAGAGGGAATGAGTTGTGTGTGTCGTCGCCTGCTTGAGTGTTGGACTCAGGCTCTCAATGAAAGCACCAATGACGGTAAATATGTTACTGGATAAAAATATTATAATAGCAGAATAATGAATTGTTGTATTGCAAGTGTTGTGAGTACAGAATATTAAACGTGTCCCCTCCTAGCTGAGGGAGGGGAGTTCTACTTATACTAGGCCCTAACGGTAACAACGTAGTGGGGCATAAATGGGGAGCTGAGGCATTAATTCTCTCTATAACACCCCTAAAATTTAAAACTTTGAATACTTATGAAATAAAGGCAATACTATCATTAAATCCCGAAACAGAGCATAACTAAACATAAATGTTTGGGGTGCTATGCCACATCTGAGCTGGAGAACTCAGATGCACATGCTAACTATCTAAACATCAAGAATCCTCAAATCAATGTCAATACATCATCATGACACGCAGGCCGATAAGGAACTAACTAACTAAGCCTCGGGTCCTCTAGCGCGAGCCGGAGCTACTCATCTGTGCCTGAAAGCCAAATATATCTGTTCAGCGAATAATGCTGGTAACCCACTCTAACGCGTTAAAATACAATATAGGTGTATATATATATATATATATATATATATATATATATATATATATATATATATATATATATATATGAGGAAAACTATTTTGAAGCCGGAAGAGATATATACTTATGAAACTCTACTTTAAAATCGAGAATAGACTCAGCAAGTACAGGTAGGCACATTCAGCAGATATAATCACGCATATCAAGATACTAGCATATACCCTAAGGTCACCAGATTATTTCACATCAACTATATCAGTATTCAATCATTATTTCAACACGTAAACACACTTTGGTGGTGCCGCATGACCAATCGCATGCCCATACATGAGGGTCAGCGCATATAGCTCTGACACGGCCTCGAAGCACCCTGCCTTGTACCGCAGCACAAGGGGATTGATCGCAACCAATCAATGAACCGCAGCTCATATAGTAACGTTTGATCGCAACCAAACGGTGGACCGCAGCCCGAATAGTATGTGTATATCTGATCGCAACCAGATTTATGTGGACCGCAGCCCTATATATATATATATATATACCTGACCGATCGCAACCGGCCTGGTTAACAGCCGATGGTTCTCAACCCATCCAACTGCCTGTATAGCCAATTGATCGCAACCAATTGGGGTATCATGCACACATAACACATAGTCAAGCACACGCAACCCACATTAACACATAGGGAGGGGGAAAATATATATATAAAACTTATTCGTGGTCCACCACATTACTAGAGATATGCCTAAGGGGTTAATAGATCTTGCACCTAGGCCAACGGGATACCAATTCGACTAGCATGCAATACCCAAGACTCTTTTATCCTACGAACGGTACCCGAAACATCAAACTAGACTCAGGCACGACAAACGGTGTCCAATAGGACACCACGGGACACGAGGAAACATCAAATGGGGAAAGCCACCATATTCCACACTGGAATTCTAGCGGGTGGCCGGCAGGTGGAGGGCCACTCGCCGGCTGCCCGCCGGTGGCGCAACACGAGGCAGCGGGTGCCCGGCTGGAAGTCGCCTGCCCGCTGCCGGGCGGCCTATTGGGGCAGCGGGTAGGTGGCTGGTACCCCTGCCCCCACCTACCCCTCACTGACTCTTATGTAATAATTCGGTCCCGGGATCTTTCTTTGAACCCGAAACCATGTCCAGACACATTTAAACACAAACGACGACACCACGTAATCAAGTAATGGATTAAAATCAAGAATCACATTAAATACATCCTAACACGAATTCTAAACATAATCAAGACTCAATACCCGAACATTCAAAATCCCGCCCAAAACATACCAGGAATATCACGATACGAAATCCACGATTTAACCCTAGGGCTCTAGTTATATTAAAATCAAGAACATCAAGATTATCAAGATCAACACATAAATATCAAGATCACCTCAAAAACATCAAGATTATCAAGATCACATAAATATCAAGATCATCTAATCAACATCAAGATTATCTCATAATCATCATAAAAGCCTTATCAAGACACAAACATGGAATTGCATATCAAAGGAGCCAAAGAAGAAGATTATAGCAAGGAAAATAGATTTTGTTGAGACATGGGTAACCTTTTAGCCTTAATTAGAATCCTTGGCTACTAAGGTTCTTTCTCTAAGATCTCCTCTTCTTGATTTCTCCTACGTTTGGTGATAGGGGAATTCTTGGGAATTCTTGTGTGGTTGAATCTATTGTGGTGTAATTCTAGGTGCCTCCTATGTCCTTATATATATATATATATATATATATATATATATATATATATATATATATATATATATATATATATATATATATATATATATATAAGAGTCCTGAATGGTAGGGATTTACTTATTTTATTCCTTATAGGACTAAGGGTTTGGTTTAGGGATAAGGGTCCATGGTCTATGGTGGACCCTTCCTAATTAATTAGGGGAATTCAATGCTCTTTTAGGGGTAAGTAATTAAATAATTAGTTTGGGTTAGAGGCCGTAACATGGGGTGTTACACTCTCCCTTCAATAGTGGCAATAAGTGGCAGTAAAGTCACCACCCGTTGGTGTTCTGCCTGTTAGAATTCTGTCTGTTGGGTTTTCACATGGTACCGGCTCGAGTGCCTGTTGATGATCCGGATCGGGTGCCAGCACCATTATCCTATCAGAAGTAAAACATGAAATAGAAAATGAAGGGTATATCATGCCAAATAGTGGCTATCAAGCTAGTCATAAACTAGCTAGGACATGATTCAAGGTGATAGCTCCATTATATTATACTTCCTCAGTCCCACTTTGTTTGTCTAGTTTGATTAACAAGACTTTATTGGATTTATTTTTAATTCTATTTTTTTATAATATTAAGTTTAGTATTAGTATACAAAATTTATGTATTTAGAAACTACATTAAAAGTATTATTAAAAACAAAAATTAAATTTGAAAATAATTAAAAATTACTAAAGAAAATAAACAATGAAAAAAAAACATTCAAAAAAAAAGTAAAGAAAAAAAAGTTAATTTGACTAAATGAATAATAAATATAACAGGCAAAATGAAACAGAAGGAATATCATTTTCGTATTGTCGATTTGATGTTCCATCTTAGAAAGTTTCATACTTTGTCATGTCTTTCTCGATAAAGCACGTGGGACATTGCCAATTCTCCATCCATACCTGTGTACACTGTACTCTTTTATTCTGTTG